CATATGCGCGATTTGGACAGTTTCGGGCAATGTGACCAGGTGTTCCACAGTGAAAACATGTCTTTTTCTTCACTGGGAAGTTGTTTCTTCCTGCCCCTGGTGGCGTGTCCATGCCTTGTCTCAGGTTATTCCCACATTCACAATTGCAACAAGCCGTCGGTTTCGCTTGTTTTGGTGGCCTGTATTTCTCAACAGTAGGTTGATCAGAAGCAACTGAGTTCGAAGCAACAAATTCAAAGTTCAAGGAGTCATTGGATTGTTCAATTGTTTTCTCCTTGTTCTCATCTTCTGCTACTTTACCTGAACATGTAATAGAATCATTAGAAACGTTCACCTCAACCTTTTCTGGAACAACCACAACAGGTTTCCCATATTGAAGATGTGCCTCCCTGTCAATTTCTTCCTGATATATAGCTATGATTGAAAGGGGGGGGGGGGGGACACTATCATACCCTAGACCCTTGTTTTGATTATCTTTGAATTTTAATTGGTTTTCAAATAAGGACTCGACTGTCTTACTTGACGCAGTATAATTTTTGAAACTAACATCTGTTTTTCCACAATTAATTTTCAAAACGTCAAGTTCTTCAGTTACAGCAACAAGTTTTTTCTTAATGTGATCATAATTTTCACACTTGTTGTTGTAATCTTCTTGTAATTTCCTAAAGTCCTTAGTCTTAGCCTCTAATTGAGCTTTCAGAGGGTTCTGACCTTTCCTAAGAGTATAGCCTTCGTATTTGAGGTCCTCATTTTCTCTTTTTAATAAATCGATTTGATCTCGGAGAAATTTAATAGTAGTTTCACAAGATGGAGTACATGAAACTTCATTTACGGGAATTGATGCGGAACTCATTATTTTTATAATAATTTCCCATTTTTTTAATTTCCCTTTGACTTAAAAACCAAGAAAGTCAACCTTCAAATTCAAATTAAAAAAAAAAAAACTTAAAAAGTCAAACTTAAAAGTCAAACCGAAAGGCTAAATTTGAAAATTTAAAAGGTAAATGAAAAAGTTAAAGTTTAAATCAAAGGTCAAACTTGAAGGTCAAAGTCAAAATTTTAAAGTCAAAAGATAAAAATAAAATAAAAAAATAAAAACTAAAAACTTTGGGTTGAAAATGCCAAAATGGAATTTAAAAATAAAAGAAATTGAATTTTGGGCCAAAAGTGTTAAATTTTCGAAATTGGAACCGAGAATGAGTCATTTTTTATATTGTTGGGTCAAAAATATGGTTTATACTTTGCTTTTCTAAGCATTTATTGTTTTAATTATTTGGGCCAAAGATAGTATAGGATTCATTGTAGCTTGGACCGTTTTCGGTCTAGCATTGGATTATTTGTATTTTGGGCTTGGCCTTAGTTGCATATATATATATATATATATATATATATATATATATATATATATATATATATATATATATATATATATATATATATATATATAGGGTGACGAGTGCATGTGAAGGATATAGCCAAGGAGCTTAAGTGTGTGTATTCTAAGGTGTGAGAGAAACAAGAGAGAAGAGTGTGTGTGTGAACTATGTGTATGGAGCATCAATCATTTCATTAATACATCATTGATTCATCATCTTCTTCTTCTCCTTCTCTTCTATTTTGATCTGACATCATCCAATTGATTGGGATTCTGCACCATCAATTGGATCTGATTGATACACAAGCAGATTTGGGGACTTACAGGGTGTTAACTTACAAGTTCTTTAAATGAAAAAAGAACTTTAGGTTACAACATTTCAATCATGGGTTTCTATTTTGTTTTGATGTGTATCTAGTTTATTCTCCTTATTAGTAACACGTTTTGTTCGTTGTCTTTTGGTTTCTGGTTGTAGTATTTGGTGGTCGTGCTTGGTGGTTTTGTGGTCATGTTGTGATGATTAGTTTTTTGATTGTAGTCACATGTGATGCTTCTCGTATGTACTTAGATAGACATTGAAATCATGTTTTAACTTGTTCAATAGATGTAAAGATGCAGAAGCTGATGAATGAAATGTTGGTTACTTTAAAATGTTCCTGTTATAAATGTAAATGTGCATGTGTCGTGAAGTAATACCATATTTTTTGTTGATTTGCTTCTTGGGACCACATGAGAGAGTTAACTTTTTAAATCATTAAAACATGAACCCCAATGTTTGTGTGTGGGACATGAGACAAAAGAGAAGAATCTAATACCCAGATTTATCGTTGCCTATAACCAAGAAATGGAATACAATGGAAAAGTGCTTTTTTTGTTGTATTTCTAATTGCCCACTTTGGATAATTTCCCGGAAGAAATGAAATACCCCAAATGGGATAAGTCAAATAATAAAGTTATAACTGAGATACCCCTAATGGGTGAGGTCACATAAGAAATATTGACTGTAATACCCCTGATGGATTTAGTCAAATAAAAAATAACAACAAAAATAACCCTATTTCATTAACTAATTAAAATGACACTAATACACCTAACGGGACTGAAGTAATTTAACGTCTTTGATTGAATAAAATACCCCTACTTTAATAATTACTTGAAATAACATACACATATTGGATTATAACTGATTCGAATGACTAAATTACCCCTAAACTACATTCACATGCCCTCTTGAAATATTTATAATGACTAAATTACCCCGTACACACTAATATTAATTAGATTATACATATTACAAATACATATGAATCCAAATATCAAATGTTTATATTAGTATAACATACATGAACATAACAAACATAAATTCCATTGTTCAATCCATATAACAAACACACAGTTAAAGTTGTAATTAATCTAACTCCATTGGCGATCCAACACTACTACCTTCACCTTCAACTCTTTTAGCAAGCTCTAGTTTAAGAATTCTCTCAAACTTTTTCCTCTTGCTTGGTTGTCCTGTAGTATACACATGGCCAACAACTTTATTTACCCTGCCTAGTTCCTTAACTTGATTAACCTTGCCCAGTTCCTCAGCTTCATTAACCCTCACCACTTTCTCAGATCCGTTTACCCTCATAACTTCATTAGTTTGTGGCTCAACTGCATCACCCATAACAATATCTTCTCCACCCCCTTGCATATTCACTTATTCTTGTGTTTGCATGATCTTTTTTTTTCTTTGTGACATTAGTTTTAGGAGGCCTTGGCACTTGAGTGTAAGTGATATTGTTGTGCCCTTTTTGTTTGCATATGCCATAAGTAACCTTTTTCCCTGCCTTTGAAACCGTGTGTTTTCCAAACCTTTCAGAAGCATTCCTTATTCTTTTCATTGTTGGCTTGCTTGGCATTCTTCTTTTTAAAGAAGGCAATGGAGGTATAAAGTTTGTAGAAGGCCACATATTCATCCCATTTATGCCACTAATAGACTGTTTGTAGGTATTATGTAAGAAGGATCCTAGGTACAATGGGTCTATATATGGTCCATCATGTGTTATGTTTAAATACACTAATGTAGCTACTGAATGAACATAACCATACCCATTTAGTTGCAATAACCTGCAACTGCATTCCTTTTTGTGATATCAACAATGTATGAATCATCCATTTTCCCTATTTCAAACTTCATACCCCCACAAGACACAACCCGCCAATGCCTACAAAATGTAATGAAATTTTTTAGTGGTGACAGAGGTAAGGTATGTATGATTAATAAGTGTGCATACCTTTGCTCATTTTGGAGAATATTCAATCTTGTTCTGATGTTTGAACAAACAAAATAACAATTCCATCCTTGACTTGTTAGTTTCATTGTCACCATCCTTTGCATCACATATATACAAATCTCCTCTAACATGCTGATAATATATTTCTTCCTAGCATCCAAAATGACACTATTAAAGCTATTTGAAAAGCCATTCTCCATAGATTCACAAGATGAATCGTAAACTCTAAAAAAAAGCTAGAGACCAAGTCTTTGGATCTCTATCCATAAGATGCTTAATGGCTTCAGAATTCAACTTTTCAATCTCTTTCATGACTATGTTAAAATGTGCCTCAGTTGTTACCTTGCTTGCTCTCCAAAACAAGTTTTCAAACTTGACTCCACTAAACTAATTTCTAAAATTAACATATATATGCCTAGTACATTCCCTATGTTCTACTGCTGGGAATACTTCTTTGATTGCCTCAACCAAACCCTACATATGTTTTAGTAATATGTGAAGTTAGAAATGTAAATATTTACTATACTATGTTTAATATTTTACAAACATACCTTGTGTTGATCATAAATTAAAACCAAGCCACTTCCTTCATTCCAACACTACAAATCTTCTAAAATATTTTCAATGAACCATTTCCAATCTCCTTATTTTCCGCACATATAACTGCCCGAGCAATTGGGAATATTCCATTGTTAGATTCCCTACCAACAACATAAAGCAACTCACCTTGGCAAAAACTTTTCAGGAAACAACCATCCAAGTTAATGATCCTTCTACACCCTCCCCTCTACCCCTCTTTAATTGCAGTGAAGCATATGTAAATCTTGCTGAAGTAATACTTACCATCAGGCATTGTATCCACATAAATTTTAATAGTGGATACAGGATTTGATCTTTTAATCTCCTCACCGTAAGACCATATTCTAGCTTAGTTTTCTGCTACCGTGCCTTCAGCTAGAGTCAATGCATACTTCTTGTCTCTCCTACACTGACTCATACTTACAACAATGCCAAAAGTGGTTTTCACCTCCTCTCTAAGTAATCTCACACTCATCTTTTGATTGTTATTTTTTTTGGGTATAGTGGGTACCTATCCATCTATACGTCACAATTTATTCGAATTTGAAATTATTTGAACAATTATGGTCACTAATAAGAGACCTGATATGGAAAGACTTATCATCACTCATCCATGAACCCCAAACCCTAAATGTACATTTTTCATCACAACATTTGGCTAGCAACCATCTATTATCTTTTCACAATACATAATTGATAACAATTTGCAACAACATAGTTACAGAGCATGTGTTTCAATTGTTTAGAACTCTCAAACCTCATACCTAAAAAGGTTCTTTCTCATTCCAGTGTAGCTTTTCACTCAAAATATTTGGCAACTGAGGATAAACATCTTCATTATCATCCATGGCTTCTTCCAAAGGGTCACCCGAAGCTGCATTCTCACCCATGTCAACATCGGGGCCATTATCCTTTTTGAAAAAATGAGGGCTACTATGGTTATCCTCATCTTCGTTACCACCCACATCCTCAGCGCTATGATCATCCTCATCCTTATCTTCATCTTCATCCTTATCCTCATCCTCATCCAAATGGTCTGTCTCAATTTCCTTAATTAGTCCTGCACCATCAATCACTTCTTCAACTATGTTATCAACAACCTCCCCTTTGTGTTCTTCCAACCATTCCACCATGTTACTATTACCAAAATGGTCTACATACATAAGGAGTATAACACCACATTCATTAGCTATTGCTATTAAATCAGCATAATCCATCCCATTGGAAATTAAGGTCAAACCTTTGGGAAAATGAACATCTGGTTGGCAGTAATAGTTCTTCTCACACTTTTCTCTAGTGAACCTTTCGATAAACTCATAACACCTACTCTGGTCCATGCCTGCGAAATCGATGTCCGACAACCTCTGAGTAATCCCCCTAGTGTAGCGTATGGGGTATTTTGTGAAGATTCCTTGGAAATGCACATCGACTTGGATGAATACGGGATCCATGTTTGAGGTTTAAGGAGACAAAAGAAAGTAATGGTTTATCGAAAGAGATGGAAGTGGTGAACAGTAGACGGGAAAAGATCTCGTTTAAGTAAAGTTTTTATTAAATGACATAGCATACACAGTCAGCAAGCCAAGGGGTTTAAGTAACACTGGTTTCACAAATATGACCGACTGACTATATCACAAATGGAATAATGACGTAATTGACCCGACAAAATAAAGTTTGTTCCCTCATAAAGCCACTAAAAAGCTTAAGTGACTAAGAGGGTAAATCCTAGAAAGTTCATAGTACATATGTGTCAATTTTTCCTATATATATATATATATATATATATATATATATATATATATATATATATATATATATATATATATAGTTAGTGTGACATCCCCATTTTCATAGCCATAAAAGAACGATTTTGTTTATGCTTTATAAAAATCAGAGTACCTCTTTTAATAAAAATGTTGCGGAATTTGTTCCCAGTAAAACATAATAAATAGATTTTCAAAGCATTTATGAAGAAAAATATATTTTTTTTCATTTAAAACATTTGGTATGTCATCGTCAATACAGAAACATAAGCATAAACATAACTTACATTTATTTACACTAGTGATCTACATCTCTTTTAATTCTCTCATTGTAAAGTAGCTTCGTATCGACACCTGTGATACAAATAAACTGAGTGGGTCAGGTTGGGAAACCTGGTGACTACATAGGGTTTTCAACCCATAATAATATAATTATTATGTTTAATCATCAAACAGTTAACCCAATTACCCATCCCCATTATCTTCTTTAATCTTAAGGATCTACCTTAAGAATCACCTATTTCTTGTTCATTCATTCCTAAGGATTTTCCTAAGGAATAGGTACGAAGTCCATCGTTGTCAATGACACAGCTGTCAAGCACAGCTGCTAGTTCTATCACTTAGGCACACCTGCCATAGTTGTGACATTCTATATGAGGCGCTTTTGTCGGTATTGTTGTTTAGATGCTACTGTCAAGGTTATAATGTTCTCTATTAGGCATAGCTGATGATATTATCCTTAGAGCGCAGCTGCTAGGATGTTTATCGTAGATCAACAACATCTATAGCTTGTGGCGTAGCTGCCAGTGCTCATCTATAGGGTACTAGGTCCATTGCTGCCAATGTTCACCTATAGGGCACTAGGTCCATACCACTAATATTCCTATATTTCAGCTTTCACCCCTCGTCCTTCATATACCCATGTTTTACCCAACATATTTTGTAGATATAAAAATACGTATACAGTTTAAAACATTTAAAACATGTATAAAAATCTCTCACCCAGCATAGACAGCAAGTATTCAGACAATATGCACACATAGCACGTAATTTATATTAAATACTTCATATCTATGTGTAAGATGAAAGGGACCATGCACTCACCTGGGAAGGTGGTGACTCGGCACTCGGACAGCGCTTCGTTACTCTTAAAACAACTTCCTCGACAAAACCTAGTATCAATATCACTAGGGTTTAGTCTAATCTTCGCTGAGACTAATTAATAGTCTCGCTATTATTACTATTATATAAGCATTAAACAATACTTATATAATCCATAATAATATACCAACTACTCCTTATAAGGTCCTAATAACATTACTATATTGAAACATGAGTTATACTAAAGATAGGGTAGGCATAACTCACTTATAGTGGGTTTTCTCGAAAACCGGGCTTCGCTGGAGCAGTGTTTCTCAGCCTAAAGGCTCTTTTCTTGAGGTTTCGGGAGCCTCGGGGCTTCCTTCGGGTGCTATGGGGTTTACCTAGACTTTAGGGGGAGTTTGGGGCTTTAGAGAGAGAAACTAGAGAGAGAAAGAAGGGTTTGAAGGTGTGAGGAAGTGAGGGAACCCGACACCTCTATTTATAGGGGTTCTGACTAATGGAATCGCCGAGTAGGAGGACCTACTCGCCGATTTGGGCCATGTGGCAGCATTCTGGTGGTGCCACGTGTCTAATTCTGGTGGTGCCACATCACCTCCTATCGCGTATCAGCCTTCAAACTTAGAAAAATCATAACTCTTGCATACGAGCTCCATTTTCGACATTATTTTTTTTCAACGCATAGGTAAAATCAATATCTACAACTTTCATTTAGACTTCATCGGCTAATTCTCGACCGATCTCAAATTTAACAGTAGGAGGCGTTTAGATTGTTAAATAACCGCGAAGAATTCGTAACTCCTTCATACGGACTCTGTTTTCATCTGTCTTTTTACCGTTGAGTTCCTATTAATGAGATCTTTAACTCTCATTTAGTTAGCGTAAGCCAAAAACTGCTCGAACTAAAAATCGAATTTCGGGCCATGCACTGCTAAGCCAAATCTTAGAAAATTCATAACTTCCTCATACGAAGTCAGATTTGGGCGTTCTATTTTTGTATGTTCTCGGTTTAACATATACTACAACTTTCATTTAGATTTCTAAGGCTAAAAGTCGCTCCATCATAAATTTACTATTTACGCTTCTCGGTGTCGTGCCGGTTTTGCCGTAAAACTTCGACGGACCATAACTTCTTCGTTATAACTCGGATTTCGGCGTTCTTTATACGTACGGAAACCTTGAGACATACTCTACAACTTGTTTAAGACTATTTATTATAAATAATATTTTTCCAAAAATTCGTTTTCTATACTTATTGCCTCTAAATTGACTAGCCCGGATCTACAAGTGTTACAGTTAGGTATATATATGAACAATAATTATTGTGTGGATGTATGACTAGACTTCAACCATTGATCTTATATAATCTCCAAAATGGATGATTGGCATTTTTCATTTATCTTATCTGTTTACCTAAATTAAATGACTAGACTTCAACCATTGATCTTATATAATCTCCAAAATGGATGATTGGCATTTTTCATTTATCTTATCTGTTTACCTAAATTAAATTTATATATATATATATATATATATATATATATATATATATATATATATATATATATATATATATATATAGAGAGAGAGAGAGAGAGAGGTGGGTTCAATTGAGAAAATAAAGAAGGTTGAGAATGGGAGAATCATTCTCAGCCACTCATTTAATCTAAGCATAAAAGACACGGTGACAAACTTGTAAATATCGTAATAACCTTTAATCTCAAATACGTAACTATAGAGAATTCGATAACTGTTCGTTCATCATCAAAATTTTTCCTCCAACCTTCAATAATCTTCCAGATTTCTTCAACTAAACCGAAATTTCTTCGCTGTTGATGAAATTGGAATCGGAGTTATGGAGTTGCAATCACACTTGACATTGAGGGACTTAGAATCGGTACTCACAGGTTCCTAATCGGATTTTCGGAAATCAAAATCAAATTGAGAAATCGATCAGAGATAGGATGTCGCATCTGAAGTCGAAATCGGAAGTATATGATGATTTGGAATTGATAACTTGATGTTTTTAACATTTTTAAAATAGTTAACTTGTTTGCACTCCAACTGTTTGATGAAATGCATAAACTAAATTACCACGTTATATTTACATATGAATATGTTTTCTCACCTGAATCAGTATATGATTATTAAAAACACAAAACAAATATGCAAGTCTGTATGTTATTCATATGTGAATAACATATAAAAATTATATATATTTGTCAAAATACCTTCAATACGCATAAGTGAATATACATTGTAATATTCTTATGTGAATATACTGTGTAATATTCATCAGTTAATATATCATCTAATATTCACAAGTGAATATACTCTGTAATATTCACATGTGATATACCATGTAATACTATGTAATATTCAAATATGAAATATCATTTAATACTCATAAGTGAATATATCATCTAATATTCACAAGTGAATATACTATGTTAATATTCACAAGTGAATTCATCGTCCAATATTAAAATATGAATATACTATGTTTATTATATGCTATATTCATATATGAATGATACTTAAATTGTAAAAAAAAAATCATACTTTTTATTCATAAGTGAATAACGAATGTACTGTAATAAAATTTGATGTATTGTTATTCATTTATGAATAACGATAGCTGAAAATATAAAAAATAAAAAATTTTATTTTATCTTAAAACTATATTAATATGGATGTCTATTTGTAGAGAATAAAAAATCATGAATTTTGGTATATTTAAAATCATTTTTTGATAAAAATAGCTTATAAAAATTAAAAAAAAAAAACGATAAAAACTATGTTTTTGTATATATTAAGGTAATGATTAGTATAGTTTAAGGAAATATATTATATTGGAAAACACATGTGCATTCGTTTCCCATTTCCGCCGGTACGTTGGAGCCTTTTGCGGCAAAAATAAATGATTGACTCAGAATGATTACCCCATTCTCAACCTTTTTTTTTCTCAATTGAACCCTCTCCTATATATATATATATATATATATATATATATATATATATATATATATATATATATATATATATATATATATATATATATATATATATATATATATATATATAAAAGCAAATCGATAGATGTTTCAAATGCTAATTTTACATAGTTCAATAATTCACTTTCGGAAAAAAAATTTCAATCCTCCGATTATTGTCTTCTTCATTCTTCTTTATTCAATCAATATTTTCTTGTACCCGACTTAAAAAATTGTAAAATAATCCTACAAGTAGCAAATATTTAAAGTTTTAAAATAACATAATACTACTTATTCATTCGTTTAGAATATTTGATACTAGGAAAATCTCATATTACTTTAATACTTTAGAATTAAGTAATTTTAAAACTTATTATAGCCTCATAATATAACTCAAAAACATAATTGTCTCAAGTGTCAACACAATCCACATAAAATGTCATTATCCCAGAATCATCCACATAATCTCGCATCGGTGTCTACAATCAAGTCGGTGCCTTTCTGTGATCCTGAGAGGTACCTGAAACACATAACACATAACACGGTAAGCACAAAGCTTAGTGAGTTCCCCAAAATACCACACATATCTCATTA